AATCGAAGAGAACGTGGTGCACATTCTTCTCCACTCCAGTCCCGCATTCAGGGCAGTGGTCCTCTGTGTCGTGGCCGAATATTTTGAGGTAGCTTCGAAAGCAACCGTGTCCACTGACTGCCTGTGTCAGGTAGAAGTCTACCTCGCCATGCTTTTGGTCTACCCAGCTTTTGACGTCCGGAATCAGGCGGTGAGTCCAACGGCCCTTTGTGGAACTGTCCCACCTGGACTGCCACCGGGCGATGCTCTTGCGCCTGGCACTGACCCTGGCCTCGCGCCTCGCCGGAGAGTTGTCCGGCTCGCGTAAGAGACGGGCTTCCTGAACTTCTTGCACCTGCCCCGCAATTACCAGGGCCGCGTCGTCGGAGACAGTCCTGAAGCTGCACGCTACTCTTAGGGCGCATAGGCGGTACGTTCCTTTTACACCCCTCACGTAACCCTTGACTCTTACAGCCTCCACCCAGTCTGAGGCTGCATAGAGGAGTTGCGACGTGACGACACTCGTGAGCAGCTTCCTCTTGCACTGATTGGGCCCCCTGGTGTTTAGCAGGATCCTGGAGAGGGATCTTGAGTTGACCTTGTTAGAGTGTGTTCGGTCAAATTTATTGCCTGAAATCCAACTCAAATTGCTATACCACCATTTTAGTAGTGTAGCACTGTTAAGGCGCGTGGTACGCATGCGAGAAGCTTTTATGCCCTCCGTCAATCCTGCCGTGCGAAAACCTCTTCCTGCTCCTCGTCGTATGATACACGAAATCAAAAGCGAATCCGAAGTTGAAAGCGCGCCAGAAGTTGTTGAGCTGTCCGCAATAACAAGTCCGTGTTGGAATTGTGGTAAAAGTGGTCATTTATATGCAAAGATGAGCTAAAAGTTTCTGCTACGGTTGTGGAAAACCAGATACATACCGACCCTCTTGTCCTAAGTGTACAGGTACAAAAAACTATCAAGCACGCAAACCTGACTGTTTTCAAAGCAACCAACACCGAATAGAAGAATCTAAAGCTTCTTACCAACCCCCACCAGATTTGACCAACAACCCTAAATGTTCTATTCACCACCCGGCGATTACCCTTTCTGCAGTATCTGAAAGATATGCTAAGAGAAGAAGGCGTTCTCTAAGACGCATAAAAACTTATTATCAAAATTTGCAAAGAGAACGGAAGTGTTTACTATCAGCGATAATTTCTGCCGATAGTCGTCCATATGCGAATGTAAAAGTCTTAGGTCGCTCAATTTCTGGCTTAATGGACACCGGTGCTTTGGCTAGGTAAAATATAAGCCCATGACTAATTCTGTCCGAACTGCGGATGGACAAACTCACAATATAACTGGCAAGATTCAGGCAGACGTTGAATATAAAGGTGATAAAAAAAATGTATAATCTTTTATATCGTACCTTCATTAGCACAGGAGCTGTATTTAGGCATCGAGTTTTGGAAAGAGTTCCAGTTACTTTCGTTTGGTCTTCTTCAATCCACTCCGGAGAAAAGCCTAGCAACTATCGACACTGACTTGTTCTGAGCGATCTCCCGGGAACAACAAGTAGATTTGCAAAAAACCGTTTAAAATTTCGTAGGTCAGGAAATTTTTCGTAGGAATTTTCAGCAAAGTTGCTTTGAAAAGGGCTTCAATGCAAAATTAGCCCCAACTTTTGTGAAAGGAAGAATAAGACGGAAACTAGGATCAGCGTATTATGAAATTAAAGATATGCAAGGAAAACTAGTTGCAAATACCACGCTAAAGATATTAAGCAATAGCTATTTTGGCACAAATAGCTATTATTATTATTAGCGTGTATCCCTCTTTTTGATCTCCCAACAAGTGTCATTTTAGCGAGGGGAATTGTAGTAGCGCTTGTCACTAGCCACTAAGCCATCTATGGGCGGAGTTGCCATACCATAGTTAATTATCTATCGCATACTTCATACCCTACTGGCCCAAAGTACAAGCCTGGGTTTAGCATAAGTGCAGCAAACTTTGCGCTGCCAATTTCCATTTCCCCCAAGATCTTAAGTCGGACAGATATGGTATTGGTGATGAAAAATTTAATCCTCCACCTGTCCGCCAATCTAAAGTGTTAGAGTGTGCCAGACTCAAGGTATGTACTGGATACCTCCTTATTTCAACCCAGAAACCTAATAAAAATTAATTTATTATTGTGCCTAATTGAGGATCGACTGGCCTCGAGGAGCACACACGAGCAGCGTACAACTGAGAGAGAAGGATCCTAACTTGAGAGTATCCTTAAGCTTAGCAAGGGTTCTTAGGAATATTGGGGCACAGAGTAGGTTAGGGGTACTTATAATCACCCCTCCCTGATGGTCGGGTTATCTCGTGGGCAATAGGGTGCGGTGAACTGCAGCTCGACTCTCGTTTCCTGGAGGTAGTCCTTGAACGCCTTGCTGGTAAACTGAGTCCCGTTATCGCACACCATCTTCTTCGGAGCTCCGAAGCGACTGATGATGCGCTCGCGGAAGGCTCGTATGAGAGTTGCCGCCGTTGCCTTCCGAAGAGGTACCAGCTCCACCCACTTGGTAAAGATGTCGAAGAACACCAGGAGCACGGTATTTCCTTCTTTCGAGCGAGGTAATGGTCCGACGAAGTCGGCACACAGTATTCCGAAGGGCTCGTTCACCTGCCTGGTCAGCATCTTTCCGGCTTGCTGTCGCTGTTCCGACTTGAACTTCTGGCAGGGGACACATTGCCGCACGTACCGTCGTACGTCGCGGAACATCCCTGGCCAGTAGTACTTCTGGGAGATCCTGATGATCGTCTTACGTATCCCCAGATGTCCAGCTGTGGGTGCGTCGTGACACTCCTGCAGGATTCGAGCTCGATGTTCTGCTGCGACACAGAGCTTCCATGGGACGTAATCCTGGTCGTCTGGGCAATGGCCGAGATGCCGGTATAGCTCTCCGTTCTCGGTGATATAATCCGGGAACTTCTGTGGGTCCTCCCGGACGTCCTTCGTCTTCCTTTGAAGCCACTTGCACTGGTGCTCTCCTTGTGCGAGTATCTGTAGATGTTCCAGCGGTTGTCGTGATAGAGCGTCGGCAACCACATTGTACTTCCCGCGTCGGTAATGTACATCATATTGGTATTGCTGGAGCTCCAACGCCCATCTGGCAATCCTTCCGGTGGGGGTTTTCTATCTGGTCGAGCCATTTAAGTGCCAGATGATCGGTGATGACGTCGAACCTGTACCCTTCAAGGCAGCATCTTAAGGGGCCCATCCACAGTAGAACATGTTGGCCGAGCATGTTGAGCTCGACGAAATTTTCATCGTTAGTGGTAGTGCACGCGTACAAATTTCGTGTTCCGCTCGAACGAAATAGAAATCATTCTATCTAGCTTTTGTTCGCAACAACATGCTCGACAATGGATGGCAACGTTGGCACGAACATCACTTGAAGCAAAAATTTGTAGCGACAACACGTAGTACCGGAGCTGTAAAATGTCAAAACAATTTATGCAAGAATTTCTTTATTGCTTGCAAAATGAGCAATCTTTGTGCTTCCGTTTTGGCGCTTCCTCTTTCTTTTTTTCTTTTCGAAGCAAACATTAATTGCCAAAAATGCACAAAAAATATATTATCTATCGTCATGATTTTTTTAAAATTATTTTTATTTGAGCAAATACATCAAAATAAAGATAAAAACTTAAATAAAAAATATTATTAAAAAATTGTTTTCATTGAAAAAAACCTAATTTTTCACTTTGATACCCTGTAAAAAACAACAATTTGCTGTCAAATGGCGTTTAAATTATGTTATTATCTTATTTGGTTCAAAAGATATGTAGGATTTGAAACAGGCGGGTTTCCTTCGCGGCACACTCGAAGCGGTTTAAGCTATCTGGCAACACGAGATCAGGACGATATTGAAGTAATACTCGATAGTTAGAATAAGCAGAATTAAGAAAAGCGAGAATGTCATGTTTTGTCATCACTAGATCGTAGAGACAGAAAAGAAGAAGTCGTGAAATAAGAGCTCGTAAAAAGTAAAAGAAAAGAACATTGTAAAACTAATCTAAGCACTTATGTTTAAACCAAATCCCATAAATAAATCATTGTATTGAATATTAAATTCCTACAATTTGGGGGCTCAACCGGGATTTAACCCAAACATCAAGTGCCAGACAATTGGAGAGTGCTGAAGTGCGTTTTCACACACAACTACAAATGAACAAAAATTGCGAAGTGTGGTGAAATTGCAACTGAAACGAGGCAGTTTGTGAAACGAGGCAACGCTGGAGAGCAACATTTGAATGTGTGAGCGCATTTGAGACGAGCTGGAAGACACGCAAAGGGGACGCATGTGTGCTCATCAGAGCGGCAGTCTGAGATCGGGCCGGTCACGGAGAACTGAAGGCGTTGGGAGCAGCGTAAGGCAGAGGCGAGCGGAGCAAGTCTGGAGCGTGAGGCAGGGACTGGAAAGGCAGAGGCGAGGTGACAGCAGGGACAACGGAGGTGAATCTGGAGCAGGCAGATCATCGCGGAAGGGCACAGGCGGACAAGCAGCGACAAGCACAAAAAGTGACGCTAACTGGAGCAAGCAGATTTTGGAAGACAAGCAGTTGGCAAGTAACTAGTGGAAGGCGAGACGGGCGGTCAAGCAGTCTCGAAAGCAGTGCATCGGAAAAGGTGCAAAACGTTAAAGCCAAGAAGATCTAATTGGAAGCGGCTGAGAAGCAGTGTTAAGCAGACTGTATGTATGAAATTTGAACAGAACTGAACGTAAGAACAACTGAAACGTAAGAAATTCTTAAAATTTGGAAAAAACATATTGTTATTGTTAAGCTAATATCAATTATTGTAAAAAATTCAAAATGCAGCTCGAAGAAATAATGGTTATGAGATGTGATGATTTGAGAGTTGACTTTAGTCACAACAGGTAGGAAGCGCGATTTACAGGATAGGGTTCTTGCTCACTTTAATATTCGTGATGAGGATGAGAACGATTCAGAAATTGAATCTGTAGCTACCGCTCTCGATCGTACAATGCCGGAAATGCCCACAAGCCGTTCTATGTTCACTCTTAAAGATGTAGAAGGCAGTGTTACAACTTTTGCAGGAACAGGTAGCCCAGATGTAGACCATTGGATTCAAGAGTTAGAAGAGTGTGCTTTGACCGTTGAGTGGAACCAGCTTCAACTATTCATTTACTCTAAACAGTTGCTTAGTGGAGCTGCAAAATCTTTCATTCGCAGTCAGGTTAATATTCGCAATTGGGATTCTCTCAAGGCAGCATTGCGCAGGGAATTTGCAGTTAAAATATCGTCGGCAGAGGTGCATCGCAAGCTAGGTCAGCGGGTGCTAGCAAAAGGAGAAACTCTTCAGGAATATTTGTATGCGTTGATGGAAATTGCTAAGCCAGTCAATTTAGACGAAGAGAGTTTAATCGACTACTTCGTGAAGGGAGTGCCAGATGCCACGGCGAACAAGATCATGTTATACCAGAACAAAACTATAAGGGATCTGAAGGAGCAGATTGAAGTCTACAAGAAAGTTCGTGGCACTTATAAGGGATCATTCAGGAATGAGCAGCGTACAGCTGAGACGGAAGGATCAAAAGGTTTTGTCTCAAAACCCGAGTTTATGCGAAAATGCTTTAAGTGCGGAGATCCGTCCCACTTAAAAAAGGATTGCAAGAAGAAGGACAATTTTAATTGCTATCGCTGCGGACAGCCAGGTCATCGTGCTGCACAGTGCAAGACCGAACACGAGGTGAAGAAAGAGAGTAACACTAATGCTATTCACTTGGAGAGCGCAGCCACGAAACCAAAAAGCGAGTTAACAGCTTCCGGCCTTGAACTAAAAGTTGTAAAGCATCCCGTTGTTCAATTTAAAGGACTCGCCGACACAGGTGCAGATCTATGCTTGATGCGCAGGAACATTTTCCTCAAGATAGGCAGCAAACTTCTCACTGGAAGAGAGAAATGCTTGACTGGAATAGGCGAGAGTCAGGTATTGATGTTTGGAAGTATAATCCTACCAGTTGAAATAGACAACATCGAAATGGAGGTGCAGTTCCGCGTAGTTCCGGAAGAAGACATGGGTTTTGACGCTATTTTAGGCAGAACTATTCTTGACATTGTGGACATGAAAGTTACTAAGGAAGGCACCAAGTTTTTGCGTCGAAACGTATCCAGAAGTATCGATGAAGAGCAGAGCAACATAGATACCGATTTTCTACAAGAGTTTAGGGGCATGTGTGCAGAACAGGTGGCAGTTTCAGGTCAAGTTGATTTGTCGCATTTAGATCAATCTCAGGTGGTCGAGGTCAAGAATTTGATTGAGGAGTACGTAGCTGAACGCAATGTAGACGCACCAGTACAAATGAAAATCATTCTGAAGGACGAAATACCTGTTTATCAGCATCCATGGCGCTTCCCTGTCTGTGACCAGAAAACAGTGAACGATCAAGTTAAGGAGTGGCTTTCAGAGAAGATTATCCAACCGAGTACCTCGGAATATGCGTCTCCAGTAGTTTTGGTATCCAAGAAAAACGGAAAGAAGCGTTTATGTTGTGACTATCGGAAGCTAAACGAGAAGATTATACGAGACAATTTCCCTATGGCTCATATGGAGACCGTTCTGGACAAACTCCAAGGATCCAAAATATTCACCACTTTGGATCTAACCAACGGTTTCTTCCACGTTCCCATTGAACCAGGTTCTCGAAAGTATACCTCATTTGTAACTCAGTCAGAACAGTTCGAATTTATTTATGTTCCTTTTGGCATATCGAATTCGCCTGAGGTTTTCACCAGATTTATCATTGCAGTTCTAAGAGAGCTCATCGTTACCAATGTTGTCGTTGTTTACATGGACCACGTAATTATACTGAGCCAGGATATTAAAGAAGGACTTGCTAAGTTAAAAGATGTTTAAGAAGTTGCTTCTAGAAACGGCTTGCGTATCAACTGGAGTAAATGCCAAATTTTGGGCAGCAGAGTGCAGTTTTAAGGCTACATAGTTCAAGAATATACAAGCCGTGAAAGAATTTCCCGAGCCGCGAGACATGAAAGGTATACAGAGATTCTTAGGTCTGACGTCCTATTTTCAAAAATTCATTAACGGATACGCTTTTATTGCCAGGCCCTCGTCGGACTTGTTGAGAGGTAATTTTAAGTATGATTTCGAAAATAAACAACGATTGACGTTTGAAAAGCTGAAGACTGCTCTCATCAGTGAATCAGTCCTAAAGCTGTATAATTCAAATTTACAAACAGAAATCCACACATATGCTTCTAAACACGGTTTTGGCGCTGTTTTATTGCAGAAAGATCCGCCGGTGGCTACAAGATGGATAGAGGCGTAGAAGCGGGCATATACCTTTCAGACCCTGAAATGAGGCTGTCGTACAAGCTACCAAGCCACTGCAGTATATTCCAGGCGGAAGTATTCACCATCAGGAAAGCAGCAGAGCTTGCGCAGAGCGTAAACAGTCCACATGAGGCGGTCAATTTGTAGACAGTCAAGCGGCGATAAGATCCATGCAATCATCAGCGGTCAGTACCAAAAATGTACTGGCAAGCAGGGAGTCACTAGATAGCCTGAGCACGACTAAGTCAGTGAAGATGAAAAGCGGCCTGTAGGAATTACTCTTCCTAGGCCAGATTTCCCCAATGCTCCGTCTACGTCTTCCAATTCCGTCTCAAAAAACTAACCTGTTCCCTTGGTATTTCCTATCAGAATGCAAGAGGCTTACGCAGTAAGCTTCCTAAATTGTATTCCGACAGCGTCGCATTTGCTTCCCAAGTTATTGTGTTCACAGAAACCTGGTTAAAGCCGGAGATTCTGAGCTCCGAAGTTTTTCCAGCTGCGTTCACAGTACACCGGCTAGATCGGCCTATCAGACGTGGGGGAGGTGTCCTTATAGCGGTCGACTCCACTCTCACGTCCGAATTAATAATTTTCGAGGAATCCAACAATGTTGAATTCCTTTGCGTGAAGCTATCAGTTAATGGTAGTTCCATTTTTGTTACATGTTTCGACATTCCTCCATTGTCGGAACTTCCTATTTATTTTAACCATCTTTCCGCTATTCAGTTGGTCTCCAAAAGACTTTCGGATAGGGACCATTTAGTAGTTCTTGGTGATTTTAACATCCCAGGGGCTATTTGATCCCTAGATAATTCCACTAACACACTTCTTACGACAACACATCATGATTTTATTGCTGGCTTGTTTGACATTTCGCTGTCCCAAGTCAATCATGTTCGAAATTCCTTAGAGCGCTTGCTTGATCTTTTGTTTTGTCTCAGATCCGGAAAGAGTTAGTTTAGCTAGGGTGGCGCCCCTGACGCAACCCGAAGATCCCTATCATCCCACTTTCGATGTGACTATCGACATGGGGACTGTTTCACGGAATAAATCTGATAGTCCAGCCCAAGAAGTCTTCTGCTTTAGCAAGACAGATTTCGTACGGCTGAATAATTTCATAATTATTTACAACTGGTCCGATCTATACACATGCACTGACATGGCGGAAGCCGTGGGTATTTTTTATCGTGTTATGAATTCATTTTTTATTGACTGTGTTCCGTTATACTGTCCGTCTACATCAAACAAGCCTCCTTGGTTTACCAAAGAGTTGATGCGCCTCAAAAATAGAAAATCAAATCTATATGTTAAATATCAACGTACCGGTTCTCCGATTGTCCTATCTAGTTATTTATCAGCTTGATCCACTTTTACTGTGTATAACGCGCAGTGCTACAATAATTATTTGACTCGTTGCAGGTCCCAGTTTTCTGAGGACCCAAAACAGTTTTATAATTTTGTTAAATCCAAGCGTAAATCCATTACTCGTCCGTCCGTGCTCTCTTTTGGTAATTCAACAGCAGATAATGATCAGGCAATAGCCGATCTTTTTGCTCAGTTTTTTGAAACCACTTACTCCAACTCAATAGACCCAAATCCGGCTTATCCTTACATCATCCCCAAATCGAACCAAATCTTCAGTCCTACCATTAACGAAAGCTCTCTTTTTAGGGATCTTCATCGTGTTAAGCCAGTTTTTTACCAGGTCCCGACGGAATACCAGGCTGTGTGCTTAGGAATTGTGCCGAAGCCCTGTGCAATCCACTTCTCAAATTGTTTACCTTATCCTTAGAAACCTCCCACTTTCCCCTTAATTGGAAGGAATCATTCGTTATTCCTCTCCACAAAAAAGGTAGCAAATTGGATGCCAACAATTACAGAGGTATCTCTAAGTTGTCGGCCATCCCTAAACTGTTCGAAAATGTTATTACTCCTCATCTGCAGCACCTGTGTAGGTCAATTATTTCTCCATGTCAACATGGTTTTATTAGGCGAAGATCAATTACAACGAATCTGTTGGAGCTTACTTCCTTTATTATAAAGGGATACCGAAATAACTTTCAGACAGATGTAATCTATACTGATTTCAGTAAAGCATTTGACTCTGTTAACCATTCTCTTCTTGTTCGGAAACTCGATTTAATGGGATTTCCGACTGATCTTCATAATTGGATCTCAGATTATCTAAATGGCAGGACGCAGAAGGTCCTTTTCGAAAATAAACTATCTAATGTTCTTAGGGTTACATCTGGCGTCCCGCAAGGGAGTCATTTGGGTTCCCTACTGTTTACGTTATTTATCAACGATCTGCCCGAAGTTTTGACCAACTCCGGAGTACTTATGTATGCTGATGACGTCAAGCTTTGTGTGCAATATAACGATGCTACTTGCCAATCAGACTTACAAACAGGTCTTAACAATTTTCAAACATGGTGCTGCGTGAACTTATTAAACTTAAACGGCTCTAAGTGCAATCTAATGACATTCTCCCGTGTCACTCCTAAGCCTGCAACTTATACGCTAAACGGCTGCTCTTTGGAAAAAATAAATATAGTTGATGATTTAGGTGTCCGTCTGGATCCTAAACTCGACTTTATCGATCATATTTCGTGCATGGTGAATAAAGCCAGGGGTGTGCTTGGTTTCATTAAACGGTGGTCGAAGGAATTCAATGACCCCTATGTTACAAAAACGTTATATACTTCACTTGTTCGTCCTATCTTAGAATATGGATCCTGCGTTTGGAGCCCTCAGTATGGCGTCCATAGTAAACGCATAGAACGGTTCAAAAGAACTTCTTACTTTTCGCTTTACGCGGTTTAAGCTGGGATGCAAACCAGAGGTTACCGTCTTATTCTAGTAGACTCTTACTAATTAACTTACCCTCCTTATCTAATCGTAGAACCATGCTAGGTATTACATTCTTATACAACTTAATCCGTGGTGGCGTGGAAAGTAGTGACTTGCTCGGTCAGCTAAATTTTCACGTACCAATAAGAAACACTAGATCCTTTTTACCATTAGTTTTGCCCCACTGTAGAACATCCTTTGAACTGCATGAACCCTTTAGAGTCCTCTGTGCAAATTATAACGATTTGTACATAATAATATCTAACGTTGATAGCCTTCCAAAACTAAAAACTTCAATCTTAACCTACTTACGCATGCAAGCAACCAATCCGGCAGTACGCCAGTAGTAGTCTCCCCGCATCCTTTCTTTTTAAGTCCTTCGCGTTTACTAATTGCTAACAGAACAAGCACGTGCTTGGTGTCGCAAGATCCACTTGATATGTACTGTACATAGCGCATTAACGTCTTGCAATAACTAAAAAAAAAACAACTAATCTACTGGGTTCCCAGCTACCAAGGCATAGACGGAAACGAGACCGCGGACGAACTTGCAAAGAAGGGCGTCTGACTGGCGAGTGAAAGAGCAGAAAACGTCCCTGTCTCCCTAAGAACGCTCCAAAGCGACCTGGAGGGACATGGTGACGCTAGCGCAAAAAGCAGGTGGAGGAGGAATTCCGCAACCAGCAGAATATCAAAAGCACAACGAGAAACTCACTCACTACGTGCTGCATCTTCCGCGGAAGGACTGCAGAATGTTAGTGGGTATTCTAACAGGTCACTGTCTGTCTGCTGCACATGCAGTCAAGCTGGTTATTACCGACAACTCGAAATGCTGGAAATGTGATAAATCCGAGGCAACCGAAACCTTGAAGCATCTCATTTGCAAATGTCCGGCCCTAACGAGGGCAAGAATGAGATAACTAGGCTCTCCGGTTCTGGCACCGCTAGAAGATGCCTACAGGAGGAAGCCAGGCGAACTCCTTGTCTTGCGAAAAACACCTTGACCTTCATGGACTTCGAAACTTGCATAAATAGTCTCTAGGTCAACCCAGAAATTTCCCGAATAGCTATGGGCCATATCGGTCTATGCGTGACCCCTTGAGGGTCGTCCGGTTCAACTTAACCTTACCTAACCTAACCTAAGACCCACATATTGGCCAGCAGACACCAGAAAGATACCAAATTTAATTTATTTCGCGGTGACAAAACACATCCCACACAATTTAATAAGCGCCAAGGTCCTTCCGGATCAGAGAGCTGCAACGATCAACATTTTTTCGATCATACCCGATCATTGACTCGGATTTTTTGTGAGCCAAAACTTTGCATCAACAAAAATGAATGATCGTTAGCAAGCGTGATCGAAGCGAACATTCAGTTCCGATCACCCATGACTTGGTTCGGAATGATTTTTTTGATCGTACGCGTTGTATGAGCAACAAAGAATGATCGAGACTGCTGCTTCCATTCAGGCCGATCGCAATCATACCGTTCGGTCACACCGGTTTTGATTTGCTCATACCGAGTGGTTCGGTTCAGTCTGACGAAATTTAGCAGAATCTCGGACGCAAACTGTTTGTTTATTAATTATAAGCATTAAATATTAAGTTTTTTCTGCATTACATAAATTTTAGTTATACGAGTAAATTAAGAGGAAATAACTGAAGTCATTTGTATCAGTTAGTTGAAACGCAACTTGTTTCCTTTAAAACATTTAAATGTTTACATATGTAAATATTTTCAAAAAAAAATTTAACACATTTCGCAAGGCAATTCTCGATCTGATTGCATCATTCACAATCAAATCATGCGCAACATGAGTGAAGCCTGAGCTCTTTTGAATCGTTGGACTTGATCGTTCTTTTTCTGCACAATCAGTTCCGATCATCATACCGGTACCAAAAAATCAGTTTGAATCAGGAAGCAGAGCAATCAAGCCAACTGAACGGGATCGTTCGTTTTGTTCGCGAAGATCGATCGAGCATGTTGTGGCGATCTTCTGTGTTGAGTTGTGATCGGCTTGAGCGTTGTTGATCGATCCGGACCGATCATACTCAATGCAGCTCTCTGTTCCGGATCTTTCATCAGACCAAAAACTTCAAATCACCTCTAAAGGTTGACGACGCACAGAACTAACCGGAGGATATACTCTCTATTCACACTTGTCAAAATTTTGGTGCCGGTGTTTCTTACCACCGGCAAATAAAGTAAACGAATCGCACACACATAAACTTGCACGAGTATAACGAGTGGCATGTCTACCGAGCACCCGATTACGTTTTCAACGATTGTTTTTATCCATTTTACACCTGGTACTTTTCGTTGCTCGGTGCCGGTGGCACTCACACACATAACTAAACGAGCGAGTAGTTGAAGCACATATAAGTAAACGAGCGAGTGGGTAAAGCACACAAAAAATACTCGGGTGTTTTGAAGTCATCCGAGTAGTTTTTGTGTGCTTTACCCACTCGTTCGATTTTTTTACTATGTGTCAACGACGATAATCGCACTCTTCTCGCTCTTGTCAACGCACGTGAAAATCGACGGCATAACATTAGTTTGGTGACGCTAAAGACAAAAAATTGCAAGATACTGAAACTGCACAAACATTAAAAAACAAAATAGATTCGGGAACCTACAAAGTGAACAAAAGAACAAAGGGAAAAAGCTTAATTTAGAACATTTTGTACGAAATTTTGAAAGAGGACGACACTGTGGTTGACGGATGGATTTATTGCGGTAAATGCAAAAAAATTCTAAAATACGTGGTAAACCAAACGTCGAACTTATCTCGCCACAAATGTTGTGTAGAATTGAAGCAACCCAAAGAAGTTAAAAAAGAGTCAGAGAGTGACAAAAAACAAGCCTCAATAAAGTGCACGGAGTGGGTTGTGCGAGACTGTCGTCCATTTTCTGCAGTTTCTGGATCGGGATTCAAAAACTTGGTCAACTTTTTCATCAAAATCGGTGCCACCTATGGCGAAAACGTGGACGTGGACGACCTAATACCCCATGAGAGAACATTAAGCCGGAATGCGGAAAAACTAGCCATGGAAAAAAGGAAAATTGTTGCTGAGGATGTTAAAGATCTAATGAAAAGCGGAGGAGTGGCAGCAACGCTAGATATGTGAACAGACCAATACGTCCAAAGGAATTTTTTGGGTGTCACATTACACTACCAAAAAAATTATAAACTTCATGACATCATTCTGGGAATAAAATCTATGGATTATGCTAAATCTACAGGTGAAAATATTTTGGATAAAAAAAAAAGCTTGTTTTTAGAATATAATGTTGAAAACATAAAAAATATAACATTTGTTACGGATAGAGGAGCGAATATTAAAAAGGCGTTGGAAAACAATATACGTTTAAATTGCAGAAGCCATCTTTTCGCCAATGTTTTACAAAAATCTTTTGAGCAAACAACAGAATTGGATGAAACCGTGCACGCTTGCAAGAAAATTGTAAAATATATCAAGAAGGCGAACTTGCAACACCGGCTTCAAACCACAGTGAAAGGGGCATGTCCAACTCGCTGGAATTCTAATTATACCATGATGAAGTCTATTGTCGATAATTGGCTGACAATAACACAGTGTTAAGCGAGTCTCCAGGAGCACAAAGACTTATAGACGTCAGCATTTTGAGCGGATTTTTAAAGAACTACAAACATGCAGCTCAATAGCTCTGTACTAAAAACTACAAATAGTTTTTCACCCTATGCAGAAAGCTCAAATAGCCCAAACAATTTAGTCACAACTCAAGCTCAATCACCCGTTTCAAGAACATCATTTTTTTTCCCGAAGTTAGTTGCCACATCTAATTGTAATTCGCAAGAATCTGTACTGGAAGAAATAGAAAGGTATTGCAAGGAAAGGGTACCAATAACCGAACATTTTGAAGCTATCGACTGGTGGAAAGCTAACGAGTTCAATTACCCTCGGTTGTCGAAGCTTGCCTTTATACTCCATGCGATACCTGCAAGCAGTGCCGCCGCTGAAAGGGTATTTTCGTTGGCAGGCAATATTATCACTGAAAAACGAAATAGACTGTCTCCCAAATCTGTTGACAGTATAATATTTTTGCACTCCTTTTTAAAAAATATGAATATTTCCGAATTTTGAAAATAGAACAAATGAAAATGTTTACTGTATTTTTAATTTACTTTAATGTATTTTGGTTGTACCAGGTTGCAAAAGGATTCACAAAAATGAACTAGAGCATCTAGTCACCGGGTGTTGTTTTTGGCTCAAGTATTGTGTTCTAGCTTTTACTCACTTCTCTTTCGAGCATTTGTCGCTCAAGTTCAACACACACACCGAATTAAAATAAGACTCCTAGACGAACTACGCTTGTGTGCACAAATATACGAGAATTATTGTCGAGTGTTTACTCGCACCCTATTCTCGTTGCCGAAAAATAACTCGGGTGTCAAAAATACTCGGTGTTTATCCGGTGGTTTGCTGCCGCTCTCTGCTCAACACCACAATGGACGGATTTGTAAATAAATAAAATCAAAACTATCCAGGCAAAATTCTTCAGCAAAGTTTCATTTAGATAGCTCTAAAACTGACAGAAGGACAGACAAACATATGGAAATGGCAAGATCGACTTGGCTGCTAAGACAGATCAAGTATATATATATACATATATTATAATTTTTTGTTTTCGTTTTTTTTTCCCAGGGCGCAGACGTGTGACGTACGGCACGAATCGCGAACTAGATAGACGCGTTAGAATGAAAAAAGATATACGAATGAGGAAAAATTATGAGGGGAAAAAATAAAAATTATAAAATAGATAAATAAAAAAAGGAAATAAAAACACATTCAAACTAGATTACGGTACTACACTACGAGATAATTCTACAAGATTTAAAATTTGTAGTATAGAAGGGTTATCATTACGAATAATAATATCAGAGAGGCGGTTGTAATCAGAACATAAAAACCAAAGAGTATAGAATTATATAGTTAATATAATAGTTCTATACTCTTTGATTAAACCCAAAAGGGTTCATTTGCTTCAAGCTCCCGCCTACAGTGATTTATTACTAAGGGGATATGGGTTCTAGATGTTAGACGTTGAACGTGGAAATTGAGCTGCCCTAAAAGAAAGGAGCTCTCAACATCACCGTTTATTAGGTTATTAAAGTATACGATACCAAGCATCGTTCTACGGTTAGCTAGCGAGGGTAAGTTAATTAATAGAAGTCTACTAGAATAGGATGGTAGTCTCTTTTCAGCATCCCAGAGTAGGCCACGGAGGGCGAAAAGTAAGAAGTTCTATTGTACAGATTCAATACGGTTAATATGAACTCCGAATTGACGACTCCAGACGTATGAACCATGCTCCAATATAGGGCGAAATAACGAAGTAAAAAGGGTCTTCGTTATATAAGGGGAATCGAATTCCTTCGACCACCTCTTAATTAAACCGAGCATGCCTCTGGCTTTAATAACCATGCACGAAATATGTTCAGAGAACGAAAGTTTAGGGTCTAAGCGAACGCCTAAATCGTCAACAAGAGATATTCTTCAAGAGCGCAATCATTTAGCAGATAGGTGTGGAGTGGCACGTAAAAATGTCATTGGCTTGCATTTGGAGCTATTGAGATATAATAAATTAGCAAGACACCATGCTTAAAAGTTATTAAGATCCGATTGCAGGTCTGACTGGCAAGAGCTGTCCTTATACTGCAGGCAAAGTTTAACGTCATCAGCGTACATAAGTATTTTAGAATTCCTTAGAACAAGCGGGAGGTCATTGATAAACAAAGTACATAGCAGCGGGCCGAGGTGGCTACGTTGTGGGACGCCAGATGTGACACTGTGGAATTTGGATAGAGCATTTTTAAAAAGAACCTTTTGAGTTCTGTCACTCAAATAACTCAAAATACATTTAAGAAGATCGACGCGAAACCCAATTAAGTCAAGCTTTCTTACAAGAAGAGAGTGATTAACCGGGTCAAAAGCTTTACTAAATTGTGTGTAAATCACGTCGGTTTGAAAGTTTCGTTGGAAACCCCTAATAACGAAAGAGGTGAATTCCAGGAGAATCGATCTTTGCCTCATAAAACCATAGGTAGGTAGGTATAAGTGGTGAGGCAGCCCTGGCCGCCTCCAATTAGAGCTGAGCTCCGTTTTGATCCACACCCTCGATTTGCTGTTGTCTGCGCCCTTCTTAGTACCAGCCCGTGTCATTCAGGTACGCTAGGATGGCCGCTACTGGCTGCCTTCCAACTTCCCCTAGTGACTCGAGTTGGTGTGCTCCGAAGTGTCGGGCTCTTTGTCTGTTGAGTGCCGGGCAGTGGCACAACAGGTGCTCTGGTGTCTCCTGCTCGCTTGGTTCTTTGCAGCTTCTGCATTGTGTGTTGTAGGGTGGACCCATCTTACAGGCTTGCGTGCCTACTGGCCAGTGGCCTGTGATGGTTGCTGTTACCCTCCTGATGTCCTTTTTGCTCTTGGAGAGAAGCGAACCGCAGAACTGACGCTTCTTATTGAATTCTGGCCAGCATAGTTTCGATCTTCTGTGCTCTGCCTTCGTCGACCATTCCTTGCTGGCTAGTTGTTTGAAATGGTCATGAATTTCTGTCTGGACTGAGTTCAGGGGGATCTGTATGTCTGTTGTTGCCGAGTGTTCTTCTGACCCTTTTCTGGCCAGCTCGTCTGCTTTCTCGTTTCCGTCTATGTCATTGTGTCCGGGTACCCAGGCTATTTGTACCCTGTTGTCCTCTGCGAGTCTGTTTAGTGCCCCTTTACATTTGGCCACTAGTTTTGAAGTCGTCCGTGCCTGTGCGAGGGATTTGATCGCCGCCTGGCTATTTGAGTATATCCTCACCTTGGTATTCCGAAGGCCTCGGTCTAGCGAAAGTTCGGCAGCTTTCAGTATCGCGAGAACCTCCGCCTGGAAAACCGTCGCTGACTCTGGGAGGTGGTAGTATTCCTCCACCTTCCAGCTTTCGGCGTAGATTCCGGCCCCTACCCCGCCGCTTATCTTTGAGCCGTCGGTTTAGAGTGATACCTTATCCGGTTCGGTTACTCTCCCTCTCTTCCAGTCTTCCCTTGTAGGGTATATAGTGGTGTATGTGTTACCGAATCGCAGTTCGGTTGTCATGTAGTCTGTGTCTACTGTCTTCCGATAGTTTATCTCGTCCAGGATCCTGCAGAGTCCGGTGTGGTAGTCTTTCCAGCTTTGACTAGCCTTAAGTCGTACCGCTCCTTGTGCTGCAGTGTTCCTGATGAAATGCTCTATCGGTATTATGTTCAGGATGGCGTTCAGCGCCGCTGCGGGGCATGATCTCAGTGCTCCCGTGGCTCCCTGCGCATGCCGATCTCTGTATCCTTGTTAGCTTCTGGACGTTGTATGCCCTGGTTAATGCTGGCCACCATACTAGTGCTCCGTATGTGAGTATGGGTCTTACCACCGCTGTGTAAAGCCATATTATTGTCTTGGGGTGGATGCCCCAGTTTTTTCCGAACATCTTCCTGCAGGAATAGAATGCTATACTTGCTTTCTTGACTCTCTCGTTGATGTTTGGTTTCCATGAGAGTTTTGCATCTAGTATCACTCCCAGATACTTTGCCTGCTGTGATATCTCTAGTTCTATGCCTTCTATCTTTGGCTTTGTGAACCTTGGGACCTTAGTTCTCCTGGTGAAGAGCATTAGTTCCGTTTTACTTGGATTTATGCCCAATCCGCAGGCTTTTGCCCATGCATTGAGTTTCGTGAGTGCCCTTGTCATTAGTTCGCTGATGACGTCGGGGAATGGTCCTGAAGTGAGTAGGACTACGTCGTCTGCGTATGCTACCACTTTTACTCCTTCGCTATTTAGTGTTCTTAGTATGTCGTCCATGTTTATCAGCCAGACCAGTGGGGACAGGACTCCCCCCTGAGGTGTGCCCCTCTTCACAAATCTTGTGTGATGAGTGCCACTCAGTTCGGCTGTTATCCTCCTGCTCGTCAGCATTGCGCCAATCCATGCCCTGATGCCTCCTTCTACTCCTATACCGTTGAGGGAGCTCAGGATGGAATCCGCATTTACGTAATTAAAGTCTCCTTCTATGTCCAGGAAGGTGGCCATGACGTAGTTTTTGAAAAGTAGAGCCTTTCTATGTATCGCACTACCTCGTGTAGTGCTGTTTCAGTGGATCGGCCTTTCCTGTACGCATATTGCGCACTGGAAAGGTTTTTCTCCGTTCTTTCTCTGATGTGGATATCAATGATCCTCAAGTGTTTTCATTAGAAAAGAGGTAAGGCTTATCGGCCTATAATCCTTGGCGTGGATGTGTCCCCTTCTTCCTGGTTTTGGTATGAAGACTACCCTCGCTTCCTTCCATGGAAGTGGTATGTGTGCTGTTTTAATGCATGCCTGGAAGATTGCTTGCAGCCATTTTCCTGTGCTTCCTTTTGTTGTCTGTAGCATTGCTGGTATGATTCCGTCCGGACCCGCACTTTTGTATTTGTCGAAGGAATCTATCGCCCAATGGATTCTTTCCATGGTGATGATCTCTTCTATTTGTAACTGCTGGTCCGCCCCCTGGCTTTCCATTGTTCTAGGTTCTTCTTTTTGGTTTCCTGGGAAGTGCGTATTCAGCAGGACTCTTTGTAGGCGTTGTTCAGAATATTTGTGAAGTCCTCTACTTCTTTATCTATTCTCTCCGGGGTGGATCGAGTCTTGATCCTTCTGTCTTTGACCTTTGACTGTACAATCTTTCCGTATTTGTCCCAGTCAGTGTTGTGAGGGTTTCGCTTCGGCGCCGTTTCACATATCGGCATCACGATTTCGAAGAATATGTACCTATGGTCTGAAAACGAGTCTTGTGTAGAGACTCTCCAGTTTCTTACCTTATAATCGCTATGCGCCATTTGGAGGGTTATATCTAGGACTTCTTCCCAGCCCTGAAATCCTTCCGTACTTGGAAAGATGAAGGCGGGTGTGTTTCCCTTGTTACAAATAGTGACGTCACAACATATAATACTATCGAAGAGAGACTCACCCCTTTCGTTTGTCTCCTTACTTCCCCACAGTGTGTGCCTTGCGTTGGCATCGCACCCGAGGATGAGTGTCGTCTTAGTCTCCTCGGCCCACTGCATCACCCTATTAAACGCTTCAGGTGGTGCAGGTTCGTCGTGGGCCATATATCCGGAGGCTATTAGTATGGCTGTCACATCCGCCGCCTTGACTCTTGCCACTGCTAGATCTAAGTTGCTGAGATTGGGGTAGAGAAGAGCATTAAGGTTGTTTTTAATGATTATACCCGCCCTCGGCCTACCTGTCGAGTTTGTGTATTATGTTGTGTATCCCTTTATGGCCATGCCAGAGATTCGTCCGTCTCTTGTCCATGGCTCTTGTATAAGGCCGATGTCGATGTCCTTCTCCCGGAGAAGGACCCCCAGATTAGCTGAAGCGTGGGAGCTGCGCTTCAGGTTTATCTGAACGACCGTCGGCATTAGATTGGGGTGGTGTTGGGGGTGCTGTCGTCGATCGCCAAATCGTCCAGCAGCTTATTGGCGTCCTCGACTTTGTCTTCCAGAATATCGTCCGGTTCGTCTAGGAAGACCTTCACCTTGGCTTTCCTGATGCCGTACCGGAATTTGTTTTCTGCTGCCTTCAGCTGTTCTAGGCAGCGCTGGTTGATCAAGAACAGGTATGGCTGGCTGGACTTCATTTCTCTTTCAGCTTTGGGAATGGCCCAGTCCTCCATATCGACTCCCTTGTTCATCGCTCGCAGAGTCTTGAGCACCCTTTCATGGCTAGACAGCCCCTTGGGTAACCAGATGCGAGCTCTGGGTCTCTTTGGGATGTCCCTGGCGGGGACCAGCTTAATGCTAATCCCCTTCCATGCCTTGCCTAGTCTGGCAACGCAATCCGCCAGGAAGTCCCGCGAGAACTCATCGTCGCACCTGATCACCCGGTGCCCCCAACCATGTCCGAGGAGTCAAAGGAGGGTGACTGGCCCGTTGGCTCGGACAGTAGTTTGTCGGTCACCATCTCTGCCAACTGGGTCTCGACCTCCTCCCATTTCTCCATCAGAAGGCGCCCATCGTCGTTGAGCTCATCAACAAGTGCCATAGCGAGGCTATCTCGGGCCACCTCGCTGAATTTTTTCGCCGTCTTGACAAAGGTGGTCGGTCTCGGGGCGCCCTTCGCGTCTTTGACTCTCTTCGGAGCGCTCTCGCCCACTTCTTGTGAGCGGTTGCGCTTGGATTGGGGAGGCAAAAGCGTTTCTGGGTGCTCCTTTTCGTATCGCTCATACTCCTCGATCACTGCGAGGTACCTAGTTTTGTCTGCTAGGTCGCGCGGATCGGCTTTGCCCTCCTTTTCATTCCTTGCTATTTTGGCAAGGATGAAATGGGCCTTGCTTGCTTGCGCCTTTCTTTGCTGGTTGGTCCACGGTTTTGACTTCCCGTGTTCGCCCGTCGCTTTGGCTTGGCTTGCCGCTGCTTTGCTTGTCGTTGGTTGTATCGCTTGAGGTGTGCTGGTCTTAGCACTTCCCTCTGAAATGGACGGAGCCAGAGCCTCATCATCTGAGCGCAGTAGCTCCTCCTCGTCCAATTCACTCTCAGTCGCCGGTTGTTGGAGTTTTACCTCCCCCACAAGGTCCGAAGCGGATTTTTTGGTTAAGCTCATGTTCATAAACGCCCGCGTTGCTCTACAGGGCGAGCGCGGCGGGCCCGAGGGGTTTGGGGCATTGAAGTAAGGTCGACCGTGGCTTCGCCCCTAAGCCACGGCAAGGCTCGTTCCGACCCAGGGTTGCCCGGCCCTGGGAAGGCTCCGTTCTAACACAGCTGGTTTGCCCCCTCAGCTGCGAACCTTATAGTCAGTGGGCACGGGTCGCTTTACACACCTGACTGAGGGGAGGCAGTTTCAAGACTTGCCCATGTCTTGGTAGGGAGTCTGAGGATTATTGGGTGCGGGATTCACAGGAGGTGCCGCTCGCGTTGGCCGTACCGTAGTACGTTTCCAGGAGGTACCACGCGGAGGACCTTCTCTGAGGAGAAGGTGGTGTCTATCAGACTGATATTCACCTGCGAGTCGACTTGGTGTTCCATTTGAGCCAAGGAATATTCATCAACAGTTGCCCTGTTGACTTTGCCTTGGATTGTCGCACCCTTACCACCCCATAAAATCATGCTGACATGAAGAAATTTCGGATCTGCATAAATGCTGCAAGTGAGGAGTAATTACATTCTCTAAAAGTTTTGGAATTGCCGACAATTTAGAGATTCCTCTATGCTGGCTATTGCTGGCGTCCGATTTGCTACCGTTTTTGTGAAGAGGAATAATAAATGACTCCTTCCAAATAAGGAAAAAGTGGTTGTAAAAAACTCAGCAAAGAGATCGGCGATGGCCTGATCAGAGTTTCCTGTAGTGTTATTAAATGAAAGTGAGAAAGGATAGAAATTGGGTTTTCGTTTAGTGTTAACAAAGTTATAAAACTGTTTCGGGTGCTTCGTGAACTGAACCTTACAGCGAGTTAAATAATTTTTATAACACTGCGCGTCAGCTCTTCAGTTAACCAATGTGGTTTACTAGAAACCAACGGATATTTTAACGGAACACACGATGCAAAGAACGGACGCCATGTCAGTGCACATGTAAAGATCAGACCAATTAAATTCGGATTTTAAGATATCTTTCCTTTAAAAGTTTGCTATACGAAACTTGAGAGGCTAAGCGATCAGATTTATTTTCGAAAGTAGGATGGTAAGGGTCTTCGGGAGGCGTCAATGGACCAACTCCTGTTAAGTTTACACCTACAGGATCGGAGACGACGGTTTTTCTTTATTTTCACCAGAACTAATTTTTTTCAAAAAGATCGAGGGAGATCTTAAAGGATATGATGTCCCTGGCGTATGAAAAATTTCAATTTTGCACTTTCACATTGACGGCTTGTTTTTTGCTCAGTATAAGGGTCTTTAGTGACGCAGCATTAATAACTTCATCCAGTTCTCCGGCTCTTTTTTTTACCCTGTGCAGTAGATGAAGTAGGGCTTTAACCTGAAATGCACTCGGATAAATAATAAAACGTAGAATTTTTCGGGATTTTACGCGACGTGCGTCGGATGTCTTTTTTGAATCGTAGGTAAATCTGTACTTACTATACAAAAGAAACTAAAGCTAGGGAGATCGGATTGGAAGCTCTTTGGACTGGAAGTCCGGAGGAAGAGGGAGAGAAAAGGAGAGCGTACGGGATCACACTGCCTGCCGAAATTAAACGCCTTTTTGGCGTGATGTAAATTGAAGCACCATAGCTAAAGGTAGCAGTGATTCAATTGAAATATATGGTTAGGAGGCGTACTGAGGCCTTTTTTTGAAAAAAAATTTAAAAAAAAACATCAGTAGTGAATGTGTAAGAAAAAAAAAGTGAATTAAATTGGAAAATAATAAATAAAATTATTTTGTGGTATTTGAAATTGCCAAAAGCAAAAGGATAAAAAAAAGAGTCCTTTTTGTTAAAAAAAAAAAAACAACAAAAAATTGTTCCACTTCCATTGGTTGGTTTTTCAAAAGAATAAAAATGGAAAATTCTTTATTGTCGAGTAATCGACAAAATATAGACAAAATAAAAGACGACTGCCGCAGCGACGATACAGATACAGGCGGCATCAGGAAATCATCCTACAACAAACAACGGCGGCAGCGACGACAGCAGCAGCAAAAACAACAACATCAAAATTAAAGACGACGGCGGCGCGGCAGAAGCGGAAAAAGCAGCAGGTAAGTCGACTTAATTAAAATTCTTTTTTTTTAATATAATAATTTTTTGGTTTTGTAAAAAAAAAGAATTAGGAGTTACTTAATGCAATATTCCCCCGGCAGGACCTCACTTTGGAGGTATTTATAAAGCTGGAGTTAAAGTCATAAAGTCAGTTTCAATACCAATTGTTTAATATACAGGAAATTGTTCAAAAATAATAGAAAAAAGAAATACAAGCGGATAAACAAATTTTAATTAAATAAAATTGAGAGGCCTTTGCAAATGTTAGTTGCAAAATTAATTATATCGAATGAAACAAAATAAATACAGTCCACTTACTTCTTATTGCAACTAGTTTAAATGTACCCCGAATCTTGCTGGCCCTTGGCAGAATGTTCACGCATGAACACAAATATAGATAAGATGCATATGTTAAGCATTAAATAAATCTCTGCCGCAGCGCACTGTACTTGTCTATCTTTAAGTAAACCCGCCACTTGGGCCTGTGTAATACAAGCAACCCGAAATATGACCTCCTGTGAGCGGTCTGGGTTTGTTCAAGATATGTGCTATCGGCTTGACTGCGTGCACCCTTATCTCACTTAAAATATTTCCCACGATCGAGAACTGTCCGATGCGTGGGTCTAGAACTAATATCTAAATGTACATTTTCATGTTAGCTATATAAGCTAGGATTGGAATGAAATAAACTAGTTTCTTACAAAAACTCCACGAATTAAGACTTCTCATTTATTTGGAGCTCTTTCAGGAACAATCCGCGTACCAAAGGATTTTAGCACTCGCGGTGCCACGATGGATTTTGTCGGTTTGGACGGACTGAGGCGTAATGTAGGAGGTTGAATAGAATTTATAGCTTCCAGAGTTCTATGGCGCTCAGTAAGAAATGAATCAAGTTCTAGCCACGTCGGAATTTCGGTTTTTTTTTGGTAGGGATTGCTCCCATAATGAGAGCGTTAGCTTTGGAAGCTTCGAGGAACACAAATAAACCAATAGACAATCCCAATTATCCGTAGAAAGTCCGGACAGAGTTAGGGATGTGAGGAAATTTTGAATTTTATTCTGCAGCTCCTTCAAGGCTGCCGAGGATTCGCCTTCGATGGATTGTATGTTTAATAATTTCTTCAGTTGGCTGTTCACCAACGCGCGTTTATTTTCGAAACGCTCAGTTAGGTTTCCCCATGCTGAGCGGAAACCGTCGTTGGTGAGTGGCGAATTGGAAACTATAGAATGAGCTTCACCACTAGTCTTGGCATTTAAATAGAACAACTTTTCTACAGGGGTCAGCGTAGGATTGTCGATATAGACCGCTGTGAAAAGGTCTCGGAAAGTCGGCCAGCGAAGATAATCGCCCGAGAAATCTTCCGTTTCACACGGAGGAAGCCGACATCCAGACGGAAAGGAATTTTGGGGCGCAGGAGGTTGGACTAGAGCAGCTTTGGAGGATATCGTTTCGATCTGTTCCATGAGCTGGGCGGCACACCGTGAGTAAATGAAATAGAAGTAGTCGTATTTTGCCTTAAGAGTAGGCAAGTTGTCCTCCGCGCCCTCTAAGCTAACTGAAATTAGCTCTGAACAATCTTCGTACTCTTTCTCGACCTTATCCCATAGCGCTCGGACTTGGTCGAGATGGGTTTGGCAAGAGTACTTGGATGGAGTGGGTGCTGCTGGATTACAGACTCTGGACTCGAAGTGACTCAGACAGTCACAGATCAAAGTAAATTTGTTTAAAATTGAAGGAGCCATTTTGGATATTTTTTTTTACAAAAATGTACTATAAATATATATTAAAATTTATGGGTCGAAGTTTAATTGGGAATTTAGGAACCAATCGGACTCGTAATAATTATTTTTGATATACAGTAGAGTCCGGTTATAGCGACTTTCAAGGGACCGACGATTTTACGTCGTTATACCTGGAAGACGCACTAACCGAAAGGAGCAAAAACATTTGTTTTTTTGTTTATTTTTGTTTGATATGATTGTAATAGGTTTTTAAAATAAAACAGATTAATTTTTTAAATCAAAACCAAACAAATTTAATTCAATAACATAAACTTCATAATAAGTCGTATACAGACATTATGCATATTTATAGGCTAAAAAGTATTAATCTTATTTCTATATTATCTATTATCTATTTCTTTTTATACTTAATTTAAATAATCAGTGATTTTTGATTGTGTTGTTTTTGAATTATAAAAAGAGTCGCGCACAGCATTATTTAGGCGAGAAATGCTGTGAGTTAATGTCTCGTCATTAAAATTGGAATGGACAAATTTATTCAAAATTTTAGCGGCCTTGAGTGGCTCCAAAACGCTAGGCGCTGACACATCTTCATTTTGGTCTTCCACGTTGTCGTCGCTGTCCTGTTCGTCATCTAATATGTTCTTAACAATACTCTCTTCAGATGGTTCCTCGCAAATCGCCACACCATTGTCTATAAGAACAAATTCATCGAGTTCTTCCTTCGAAATCGGTAGCTGATTTTTTAAAGCTCTTTGCCCAAACCGATAGAGGAATGTCATCCTCGATGTCAATATCGTTTGAGAATGAGCTGCTGGGACCATCTAAATTTTCTCCGGCAAGCCCAGAATGCTTAAAGCAAGTCGCAATTGTTAATGGCGAAAGTTGTTGCCATGCATCATTTATCATTAAAATGGCATCAACGACGGTAATTTTCATCTTTGTTTTCATTCATCTTTTTCGTCATGTCGCAATATCCGGTTGAATTATGAAAAATTTCGTCGGTATAAGCGGCTTGTCGTTAAAAGCGAAGACGTTTTAAGCGGAAGCCCTTTCATATAAGTTTGTATGGGGACCAACCAAGCCATTGAATTTTTGTCGTAGTAACCGGACGGACGCTATAAGCGGAGTCGTTATAGGCAGATTCTACTCTTATAATTTCTTT